GCACTATGTGTCTGTGGTGGAGGCAGCCAGAAGAACTAGAAATCAGAACCTTATATCTTTCTCAACACCCATTGCTGTAAAAGAGGAAGGGAAGAAGAAGACAAAGATAATTGAATTATAAAGTGTGCACACAAGTGCGCTTGCATGCACACACACATTTAATTCTATATAGGAATTACGATAATATTATATGTGCATGTGTGCATTCAAACCTGTGCTATGCGTACAGAAGTATATGCTGGTCAGACTAAAACTGCTGTGGTAACACACAGCGAAACACATGTGTGAGTTGTGTTTTTTTGTTTGAAAGGATTCATTCTTTTGTGCTTTATTATACATTGATGTAATTTATACAACAATAATCTGACAAAATGCAGTGAAATACACTGTGCGATAAATTGCGCAGTATATTCTCTGTTTTCTCATTATGTTCGTATATTTTTATTTAGGCCCTTGAAGAGTTTAAGTCACGTCAGAGACTTGGCCGCTTGGCAGAGGCAGATGAAATTGCCTATCTGGTAATTTATCTGGCATCCAATGAGGTAGATTACTGTATAAAAACATTTTTTTTTTGTGCAAATAATATTTAAGCCTATATAAAACATTGATGAGCCTGTCGTTTTATATGGCTCTGAAACTTGGAGCATAACTAAAAGAGATTAAGACTTATTACAAGTTCTCAAAAACTCAATATTACGACAAATCTTTAGACCTATCAAAGATGTAAACAGTGGGGAATGGAGAGTGAAAAGCAACAACGAAATTAATAATCTGTTTAAATCACCATTGATCATTGGCATCATGAGAGCAAATAGGTTGAAATGGCTGGGATGAAAGAGAGGTAAAAACTGTATATAAAAGTGGGATGAATGGTTAAAGACTGCGAGGCAGACCAAAAAGATGAGGGAGAGATAATGTCTATAGAGACCTGCAAACATTTTGGTGTTATCAGTTGGAAAGAGAGATGAGTGGAGGCGCAATGAACCTCAAGGGCTCAGAATGCTGAAGAAGAAGAATATTTAAACTTATAACTGTACTTCACCATGAATAATTTTTCAGTAAATATGATTGTCTGATATCTCAGTTTTTCAAGAGTATTGAAATAGTGTAGATGTTTTATTTTCTAAGGGGGTCTCCTGCTGTGGTATAGGGGTTAAGATGCTTGCCTGCTGAGACAGGGGTTGGAGTTCAAACCCCAGAAATGGCAGGATTATTAAAACACTTACCAATACAGAGCATGGTCACAGAGCATAGGAAGTCCGTGTAGAAGATGTAATAATGACATCAAGGAAAGCCTTAACAAAATGAAGCAGCTTCTTCTCAGGGCTTAATTAAGATGATTACCAGTGTATCAGATTTAAAAGTCAAAACTCGTCTACCAAAGGATTCGCAAATAACCAACCAACCCATTTCCTCAAAATATAATAGTATATTTATTATTTTTCTTCCAGTCAAATTTTGTGACTGGACAAGAGTTCAAAATTGTCAGAGCTTTATTCAACTGATTACCAGTGCATCAGATTTAAAAGTCAAAACTCAGTCTACCAAAGCATTCACAAATAACCAACCAACCAATTTCATCAAAATATAATAGTATATGTATTATTTTTCTTCCAGTCAAATTTTGTGACCGGACAAGAGTTCATCATTGACGGAGGTTGGAGTATGTAAAATGAGCACAGGGTCAAGACTTAACAGAAACAAATGAGTGCTGTATGGAAATGGACAAAACTAGGCATGGATTTAGTTTGTTTAAATTGTCTTTGAGTACAGTACTACACTAAACTTACCTTGTGTGGTCACTTTGTTTGTTGAAATTTAAACTCTTAAACAGAAAATATTTTATTATTTTTACTAAAACTGTAATTCTTTTTAACCAGAATTTGAATATTTGTTATAACATTTCTTAACTCTCTGAGTCCCATGAAATGCATCCAGTGCTAATTGGTTACAATTCAGCAGCCCAGTTGGCGGATGATGAGTGAAGGTTTTAAAAAATTTAGCACTGACCGGTAATAAAACGCGGACCGCTCAAATTTCCTTTCGAGATCTTTGTATTTGATATCAGGTGTGCTCATTTGGAAATGTGTTTTAAAAGCTGAACATATATTTGCAAGGTTTACCTAGTTACTAAGTGTTTGTTTGAAAACAATGTGGCGACCGAGCAGTATTCCATGTACATGCCAAAATGATTTACGGCTTTAGAAACCTCAAATTTAAATAAAGTAAACGTTTATTAGATTTTTCCAAAGTTAGATAGTCAATAGTCTGCACAAAAACAAGTCAGATCTGTAAAATGGATGTGCATGCAAACCTCAAATTCTGGAACAAGACCAAAGTCCAAAAGTGGATGAACAACCAGCTAAAGATCACAAAAAATAAGAAGAAGCTAAATGGAGTCTGCAGTGTGAGCTCAGAAACTGAACTCCAAACCATCTGTTACAGGCAGTATCAAATGTAAATCAGATAGAGATTATTTAAATGCTAAATTTTGTGGTGTACTTTTCTGTGTTGCTGCTCCAGTTTTTAATTTCTATACAGTCCCAGTACACAAATATATTTATCTACACCTGACAAAGTGACCTACAAAATCCTCTTTTTCCCAGTTTTCTAAGTCGGTACCAGTTTTTTCGTTGAAGTTTTTTGCAGAAAGAGAAGTATTCCTTAATTACTATCAAGCAGATCTTCTACTAGTTTAATCTTCTCAGAAATTAGGCCTTTTTTTAATTCTGTCTGCTCTATTTTACACACAGATGGGCACACTTAAGTGCTTGCATACGTATGTACATGAACATATATTTATATGCACAAACACAGCAGTGTTTCATACAGTTTTGTTTTTTTTCGTTCAGCTATAACCAGTGAAATGATGCATAATAACTGTGCACATTTATTATTATGATTGTTGTTGTTACTTTTATTGTTATTTTCGACCCTTAAAAAAGCAATTGATTTGCTGTGTTGTGGTTTACATCTTATCTGTGATACTTTCGTCTTTTGGTCCAACACATCCAGTTTCAGCTAACCGTAATCAGTTGCCTCTTACTGCATGCTTGTTAAGGGGTAGTGCCTTGTCGACTGGCATGGGTGATCATGCCTCTCCGCAAACTGTGGTCTGTAACTGCATGTTTCAGTTGGTGTGTTGACATCCCTCTATGCCGTGACAAAAGACTGTCAAGAATCTTCTCATGCTGTCTTCCTCTGATCCTCCCACAGATCACAATATGTTTCAATTTCCATCTTCTCATAACATAACCAAAAAAAATTATGACTGTCTCTTTTTAACTTTTGTGTGTGTGATAAGTTGTCTTTGAGCCCTCGCCTCTTTCAGAACATCTGGGTTGCTCCTTTTGTGTGTGTGGCTGTCCAAGGAATTCTAAGAATTCTTCTGTAAAATCACATCTTAAGGGACAGTAAGTGTTTTTATAATTTCCCTAAAATAACGTCCCAGAGCCCACACGAGGAGTTATTTTTACTGACACCATCAGTGTTTTTGTTTTGTGTGCAAGTTTTCCTCTTCTTCTGCATTTAACCCTAACAAGGCACCTGAATCACTATTTGTGGTTTACAGCAAGGCTGTGATGTCTGCGCCCAACACATCCGATTTCATCCTCCCCCATAAAAGGGACCTTTACTTTTGCATGCTATGTGCAATGTTATGTTTTTGGAAGCTACAGCAGTGTAGTGGCAAGATGCTCACCTGTTGGCCCCAAGGTCAAGCTGAATCAAAAGGGAATTTTTCAAAAATGATCTTGGCTTTCCTGCTGACCCAGCCTAAAATGGGTACAAGGTAATGCCCTGGGAAATAAAGGTGGCCGGTGTGATGTTGACAACATTGACCGTTGAGTGCCATTAGATCTATTTTAAAAAAAAATTTGTCTAGTATCACAGTCCAGTGCTCACCAAGAGTTTTTGTTTATCTTAATTTTTAATTTAAAAAAAAAAAAATACCAGAAGCATTTGAGCATAGCTCATTTGGCTCAGTGTCATGAGCACCCTTGGTGCCACATACACCGTTGATCTGGGGAGTATGCCGCTTTTCTGCCATCCCTGGGCTCAAAACCGAGACTGGACACGCATTGGGATTATCACCCAACGTCCAACGCACTATCAAGATGCTGGAGCGCCTAGCACTCACCTGATGTAAAAAGGGTCTTTAATTTAAAAAAAAAAATGTTTCTAAGCTAAATGACCAATGTAACTTATTTATGCATTTTTATAAACTTATGGTGTGCCATATAACTGTTATTTTACTGAACTTTAAAAAAATGACTATACATTCAAAAAGATTGTATAATAATATGTAATAAAGCATTTAATAGTTATATACACTAGCAAAACTTCTGTGATTGCCATATATTGTATTGACAACAAAATTATCAGCTACAAATTAATGTGTAATAAATTTTTCAACGGCTGATTTTTATAACTAACCGTGCCAGACTGACCCAGTCTGAAGTGGTTGGCAATGAATGTCCTGGGAAATAAAGATGTCGATCACATCATCCATTTAGCGGCAGTTGATCTATAAAATATGTCTAGCTATAGATTCCCTATTTGCCAGTGGTGTGAAAATGGTTGTTTACTTTTTTATTTTATTTTTTTAAAGCATTTAACTCTTTCTGTCACAAGCAATGCACTATATGTGATTGGATATTATTTATGTGTACCAATCAATATGTTATGTATGTTTTTAGATTTTATGTTCAATCAAGGAGTCTTTAAAAAAACCTAGACAAAATTTTTATCTCCTACAAGGATTGTGCATTTGGTCCCTGTGAAAGTAGTATATCCCTGAGTTTTTTACTGTCATTTGTGTCTTTCTCAGACATTAGCTATGGCTATCTGCAATTGGAAAAGTTATTCATTTTTATTTGCACAGTATTTGAGATTGTTGTATGCTATGATTCTCTTATACAGTAATTGCCATAAGCAGTGATTGCCATATACAATAATTGCCACATAAATGTGGAATTTATGCAGTCATTGTTCACCTTATTATATATATAATTATTGAGCTTTAATTTGAATTTAAATTAAATATACTCTGGAAAAAAATGCTGTTAATTGTGTTAGTTGTTATTATAAAACTCCTGAATCATAATTGTGAGCTGTTTGTTGACATTTTGATACATCTTTCAGAAGAAATATAAATAAAGAAGAGAGTGAAATTTACACAACCCTTTTATTTTTCTGCCTGCACCCCTTAAAAGATCAGTTGGCACATTATATTGTGGTTTTTATCTAGGCTGAGACAGCTGTACCTTTTTTTTAAATCTACACTTCAATTTTCACCAAACCTTTAGTTATTCAGTATTATGATATGCTTGTTAAGTGGCATCATTTTCTCCAGGCCACTGAATGTTTATTAGCCACAAACCTATTATTCTTACACTGAAGCTGCAAGAAACGTTAAAAAGAAAGTTGAAAGTCGAGAGGATCAACTTTATTGCACCAAGTTGGAACATATATGGCTAATTGTCTCTCTACAGAACATTGTGTAGCCTGCCAAGAGTGCTGCAATCACACACACAGAAAAACCAGTCTCAGCTACTCCAGTGATTATTCCCAAGGTTCTCTATACACATTACACTCATGATCTGAAAGGCACAGTACATTAAACAAACAACAGCCTTCAGAGTGCTTAATCATATAGCCACAGAGGACCCCCGCCTTCCCCAGCCACAAGAAAGCAACTGTTAAACGCATGTTATCCCAGTGGGACCTGTGCTAAAAAAAAAAACAGATGGATCACAGAAATTTCTAGGAGAAATCTCGATATTTGATTGTGTATATTATTGTTTGTAATTGTATCATTGTTAATTCATATCATATGCTGATCATGGTCACCGAAAGCCCCTGCCATTCCACTTTCTAAAGGCGGCTCAGCTTCCCTCGCTCTGCCTATATCTGTAGGGTTTTACCACCCCCCCCCCCCACCATCTATAGATGTTATCTTTTTAAGCATTTGTTTATACATCTGTTATTTTAAATATATTATTATATTTGTTTGCCATTCAACATACAATAATAATTTATTATTATTATTGTGCATTTAAGACTCAAGCCACTTAAGCCTCCCCTCTCCCACTAGAAAATTATCCGAGGGCTGAGCTCCCCCCCCCCCCCTTTTTTTTTTTAAACTCCCGAAATAATTTCTTTGTGACGGTGGGCCTGCTGCTCATGAAGTTTGTCTAGCTCATCTGGTATTTGTGATAAAGTGAACCTGACTAGTTCTACTTCCTGTCTGGTTTGATATCTTTTCATGGAATGAAAAAAAGAAAGAAAATAACATGATCGACATACACTTTAATCTGGTCTGGTAACTGTTGGACGTTTAAACAGAAAAGTCCAGTCTTTGTTCTTACAGACGCAGATCAAGGAATTGGAAAAGCTATTGCACTTGTAAGTAACTGAATGCTATACAAAAGCAAGGTGAGCTTTCCTAGCAATCAGTCAAAGTCATTTCTACCCAAACTTAGAATATTTATTTCCAATGTCAAATCCTTATTAGTGCATGGACCAGGAAAATGGAGGGCGACTTAAACAATTAGCGATAATATTTCAGAGACATTTCATAATAAAATTGTAAAAATTATTTAAAAAGTATACTTAAAATATAATGAACTGTACAATCTACACTCTTAAAAAAAAAAGCATAGGACTTTGCC